AAATGGATTTGTGAAGAGACAAAGGTAGAGCCATAAAAATTTTCTTCCATTCCATTGTTGTAGACACAACCTCCTGAGCATAATCTGAAGCCCTTATAGCTCTGAGATGCTGCAGGACATTCTCACCTTCTTTAAACTCTCCCCCACAATGTCTCTGCCCTCCAAGCACACCAGTGACTCTGGTGCACCACAGGAGCAATCTCTGTGGGACATTTAAGTCCATGTATAGCCTTTCCCTGAGTGTTTCACTTAAAACAATCAAGACCAGATTTCTCCTCTGAGATAGGGACGGTCAGACCTGTGGACCTGAGGCAAATTTGTTTGTAGCCTTCAACCTTTTTTTGGTTTTGGTTATTTGAGCCCTTAGAGTCCCTTCCCTCTCCTTGCAGCCTTTTCCACTAGAAAAGCATAAGGGAAGTTCATAGGTCTAAGTGCTGCTTTCTCTTTGGTTTTGGGTCAAACAGAATGAAAAAGAAACAAGGACTGAAAAATAAAAGGAATAAATGAAACCATGAATGCATGGGAAACAAATTAACTGGATATGTTTTACATTCTGAATATTTCCATAATGCTTCTATGTAGCGTGTGTTTATTTTTCTTTTGAATAATAATGTTAAAATGTGTCTAATTCAATTACTCTCTGCATTTGCTGAATGAGTTTTCCTTGGTGAAGAGTTCTCCTACACTACCCCAAGCTACGAATTCCATATGATATTTGAACAGGTCCTTTTAATTGCTGATATTAAGTGTCGATCATTCTGCTGTAAGTTGGCAGCATGGCCAGAGAAACAAATTCCTCTCTCAGATACATCAGACAGTCATTCAATTAAGAACCAAAGCTTTATTGACACAGTAGGAATTCATTATGTGAAATATTAAAAAAAGCCCTCCACTGACTAGTTAAAAAAAAAAGACTTTTAAAGATAGTGGATTATCTACATGTGGTTATTAAAATTATTTGTGAAGAATTTGAAATTGTAGTTATGATGGAAACATTTCCTCTCACAGGCATAAGCAGCGTTTTTGTTGAAAAATAAGTTGGACTTTGAAAAGATGAATATAATGTACACATTCTTATTTCCTTTGACATTGTGCATTTTCTTGATTAAAAGCCTTAGATTTTATGAGTTATGGCTTTAGACTTGCTGAATAAAGAGCTTCATGGCTTATTCTGTTGGAGTCTAATTTGAAAGAAAGTTCTTCCTCAAGGGTTTAAGGAGTAATTCATAAAATGGTAAGAATAATAAATATTGTGCCTTAACTCATACACTAGGATAGATAGACAGATTTTGTACACCTGGGTGTAATTTTAGTTAATTCACACAGGAGACAGGCTGAAAGTTTATTGTTTGGAAGGAGAAAAATGGCTTAAATCTTGTATTTGCAAAAATGATTATATTAGCTTAAATGAAAATGCTACTCTATTAATGGCTTCAATAAGCTTTGCATTTGGAAAAGTATTTTAATAAAAAGTTACCTGAAGTTTACTGCAACTTAAAATATGTAAGTGAGGGAAAAGTACTTACCTTGATTTATATGTCTTTTGGAGGTGTAATTATTGGCTTTTTACTCACCTATGTAAAACAATGTACTTTTGTAAATGGATTTCTGGCCACTTTACTCTTTTTTTTTTCCACATAAAAAGTAAGCACTGTCAATCAAAGAATTTTAAGGTTTATTTCCTCTTTAGAAATGATTGATAGCCTTTTAGATTTACAAGTTGACAAGTTAAAGGGTTCTATTGGTATAATTATGTACTAAATTCACAGTCTTTCAATTTAAATGTCCTTTTAAAACCACAAGATTATCATACCTGTATTTTGAAAAGTGGGCCAGTCAGTTTGGGTTGGTATACAAATTGCTTCCATTAGCCTTGGGACCTATTTGAATTTAGCATAGTTTTTTAAAGTTAGGAGTACTTTCAATAGTACTTTTAAAATATAGGGTAATGGGAATGCATTTTAAGTACCATATGTGTTAGCTTGTTTTTAATGTATGGATGTCAAGAACACAAACAGAGGGTTTGTATTTCTTATTGATTCTTTTTTTCTAATCACGGGGAAAAAACCCATTATTTGAATTAGAGCCCTGAGAAATGTGTTATTGTGGATGGACTTCAACAGCAGAGACTGGGGCAGAGGAAAGCCCTGGAGGAAGGTGGTGTCTGACCCTGGACATCAGCTGCCACTGAGCTCTGGCTCCTCTGCAATGCTTGGACATCAGAATATCCCCTTTTCTTTGGAGTTTTGTCAGCTGCTGACACAAAACTCATGTGGCTTTAGTGCTGAAGGTGGGGTTAAGTATGTAAACAGATCTCTTTCTTTTGAGAGATGAGTAATTACTTCTGACTTGGACTGTAAATGAACAAGGACTGATATTGTCCAGTCTGTGGTTGCATGCTCAGGCAACTGAAGATTTCGTTGGGTTTTTTTTTCTATTTTATCTGTTACTGAAAGGGTTGAACAGTTATGCACTAATGGTGATATTTAACAACTACAGTTTAGGACCCAATCCTGCAGATTGCTGTGTGCAGCCTCTCCCCACCACTCAGCTAAAGCTGAAGCTATTTGAAGCAAAAAGTTTTCACTATCTCTCACAGGATGTGTGATGTCTTGTGAGATTGGACCATAAAATTAACTTTTTTTTTTGGTCATTTAGTTCAGAAAATACTCAGAGGAAATACTCTGTGAATTTCAAATGTGTTGAATGTGTGGGAAGATATGAGAAAATGACTGCTAACTCTGGGGGGATTTCAGAACTGGCCTCCATTTATAATACTGCAGAATTTAGTAACTACTTTCCCAAAGGATCTAAAGGGAAAATGGCCATAAACTAGACTGAATTAGAGGAGAAACACATTTGGCAGAACGACGCTAAAATCTTTGAACATATTTGCAGAAGAAATGTAAATTTGAACTGTAGGGGGTTTTTTTAATCTTATCAGTGAACGGTTATTTTGGTAATAAATATAAATAGCAGTAAATTAACTTATTGTAAAACTTGAAGATGGTTTAAACTAAGCATGTCCGCGATAAGAAACCTTGTAAGTAACTCAAAGGTAACAAAACTAGGGGCTTGCAAACCAGGGAACTGTAAACTGATATTTTCTGCAAAACTATGCAATAGAGAGATCAAGGTGTGAAAGGAGACTTGGAAAAAAGGCCCAACCATCCCAAAACTAGAAAGGGCACAAGCAGGGGAAAAGCCATATTCTTACCCCTTCCATATAAGACCTGAATATAATTAAAAGATCAGATTCAAATATTCCTGATGAAAGGAAATGTATGCAAAAAACTCCAGCCAAACAAAAAGACTAAAGGGATACCATGACCTCTGGGGTAATAAAAAAGCTCAGAAAGTAAAATCCTGAAGGATTTCTCGTCTGGCTTTACCATAATATTGTAAGAGTAATTTTAGGATATGATCAGAAGATTCCTTTCTGATATTTGAGGAATGCTGAGGTTTTGCTGGACCAGGGATTAAATATTAGTTTCACGATAACATGAAGATCTTTAATTTTAGGAGTACAAAAAAATGTTCTGTTCACTCAAAATTTGGAAGTATGGACAGGCTGTGCCATGTTGGTCAGTGTGATGGAGCTGTGTGACTTGCTGTGGGATAAGCATCATTGAACCACATGAGAGTCCTTGCACAAGTGAGGCTGGGAGATAGAGTCTGATGCTAAATCTCTTTGAAATACTCTAATAGCATCATTCTAGCCAAATAATAAAGTTCATAATAAGAACCTCATAAAGGTGTAAGATATATTCATAAATTAGTAAGCAGATCTTGTGCAAGAAATAATTGTGCTTGGTGTTAATAAGCTAAGACAAGAAAAACTTTAAAGTGATTCAAAAATGAAAAAAAAAAATTTCCCACCAAAAAAAGCTGAAAATATAAAAATCCACATTGGAATTTTTTTTTTTTTTTTTTTTTTCATTTAACTCAAAAACTTGCAAACAAATTGCTGTGGAAAATTCCACCATCTCTATTGGCATGGGAGAGTCAAGATGCACTGTTGTTTAGAGATGCTCAAGAATGCTTGACTGTTGTTCCAGTTCACCAAAGCACTTAGGAAATTTTAAGCACATGTTGAAGTCTCACTAACATCTGAGTTTTAAAGTGATCATATGACTGGAAATATAGCTAGAAGGTCATTCAGTGCAGTCCCCTGTAATTATAGGCAATCATATAAAAAACATAATATGCTCAAATTTGCTTTGCTGAAAGCGAATGGGTTTAAGTATGTGCTTACAGATAAGCATGTGCTTAAAGGCTTGACACAATCAGAACTTCCATTAATGCAGACAGACCAGCATTTTCATGAAGATTAAAGTGTTCCAATTCCACTATTTCTATCCTCCATTTTATTGGACAAGGACTAGAGAAAGATGAAGTAAAAAATATAGATTTTTTTCTTTAAATTAATTAAGACTTTTGGAACAGTTTAGTGCTGATTGGAGCCTGGCCTGCTGAAGTCAGTGTTGATGAGTAAAAAATAAAGCTTCTGCCAAGACAAATACATGTATTTCACAACAAAATTATTTGTGAACATTGCACATGGAGCATATTAAATCTATAATCGAGTCTGGAACAAGAAAGTCTCCTGAATATTTACTACTTTGGTCTTCCAATCACAAAGGACCTTCCTCATAATATATAAGGAGGGAAAACCCAACATTACATATGGGGTATTTATCAGATTAATTTCATTGTGCCTTTCAGAGATAATAATTGCTTCCTATTTGGAAGATGTATGCAACATTTCCAAATTTTTCCAGCAACCTTGTTGTAGGAACTGAAGTGGTAAGGTTTGGTTTGCTGTTTGAAGGAAAGCCCCAGAAACGACCTCGAATCGTGCTTGAACCAAAATTTCACAGGGTGTGCTGATTTCAGTAAAAGGGGATTGTGATCCTTCCTTGGTCTCTCGATGCCTTTGCCCACTGTCACAGTCCAGCGATGCCTTTGTCACATCACGATGTTGTTTGTTGTTGTTTCAGCTCTGAACGAACCCACCATTGACTACGGTTTCCAAAGGTTACAGAAGGTTATCCCCCGGCACCCTGGTGACCCCGAACGCTTGCCAAAGGTCAGCACAAAGTTTATTGTTTTATTAAATATGGTAAAGATGTTTTACTGCATGTCTTTGTCTGAAAGTGCAAGACTCTACAAACGTGATGGTCCTGGTTTGGTACCCAACCCAGAGAAGCTGAAACAGAGGCACGACCAAGAAAGCCCAATCAACAACTTCCACTGCAGGCTTAGGAGACTTCTGTGACCTTCTCAGTCACAGCTAACTCAAACAGCTCTTGCCTTTGTTAAAAGCAGATCTTTCTCCGTGTTCTAAAATATTTTTAAAATTAACATATTTCTGGTTACTGTTTTGGGACCTGAGCAGCTTATTCATAGGAGGATGATGCTTTTTGGTTTTGGTATCACAGCAGTACTTGCCAGCATAATTCTGAGAACTTCACTATTGATAAAATCAAGTTATTTGGATCTTGAGGGAATGTGTGTCCATTGTGCTGGACCATGTATTGCTTTAGGATAATAATGATTATATATGCTGGTTTTTGCAGGATTGCTGATATAATTGTGTAGTGAAGTGATGTTTGTTCCCATGAAAATCAGTGAGAGATTTTTGTCCGTTTCTGTCAAGTAAAAGCTGTGGGAGAAAAAACATAGTTCACATATGTGAAAACACTGTCTGGGACTGCACTCAGGTCTGTTCTTGCTACCTTGCACGAATTTGCAGTGAGTTTTGTGATATACTGGAGAAAGAGATGGGATATTTGAAAAAGCGTTGCTTGTTGCCACAGGAACTCTGAGCTGGAGTCACTATCTGTGACCAGCTGCCACCACGTATTTTATCTGCTCTAACATCAGGGCTGTTACCGAGCAAGTTGGGGAGTCAGAACACTCCCTATGGAAAGGAAGATGTGAATTTGCAGACCTGAGACACGTAACAAATTAATTGTTGAATTAATGCATGTCCAGGATAGCCTTTGTGACTGGGTACTACTTGTGACCTTTCTTCTGTAACTTCCTGAGCTGTCCTCAGGTTTTCACCAGGGATTGTTGTAGGCTTTAAATAGTTAAATTTCTAAAGTGTTTCAAAGGTGAGATTTCATGAACACTGTACATTCATTTATTTAGTTTCTTGACAGAAGTAAAATTCAGTGAGTGACTTTTTTACGGGCTTGCTCGGTCTTTTATCTTTGCCTAGGAAGGCTGCAGACTCTGGTTTTGGGGTCACTGGTGTGTTGTCCTTCCTTTTGCCACCACAGAAACACGCTGTCCTGGAGATTTACATTTTCCATTGGCTCTGTTCACCCTCTGCAAGCTGTCCCCTTCCCTGACTTTTGGACAGATTTGCAGCAGGACACAGCTTTCATGGCTTGTCAAATTTCCATCCAGAAGTGCAACCCTTTCCAAAGAAAGAGAGCATCCTTCTGTAGGGGCTTTTTTTTTCATCTGTATCGTGCATCTGCTGCCAAATGTGCTTGTGGAAAAAAATTGTTTCTGAGAAAAGAAGCAGCCCAGCCTTCACTATGCACTAGGTATTTGCACGGCCCAAAAGAAATGCTGCAAAACTTCCCTGAACCTGACATTCCAGCTGACTAGTGGATGGCTCTGGCTTTCATCTAAATTAGGAAATTTAAATAAAATAAGACTGAGCAGTTCCAAGCAGGGCTATGAAGCTGAGGGTTGTAGAGCATCACCAGTCTCTGCAGTAATTGGGCTCCCTTTCTGACACCAGTGGCCCCAATGGGATCCTGAGGAATGCTCCTTTGTGGGAATGCAGCCACCAGGTTGAGCATCCTCCTCTTTCCCATTTAGACTGAGACTGTTACCACGCATTTCTGCTCCCCAGTGTCATGGGACATAAAACAGGCAGAAGAGACCTTCATCTAGCTCCATATCCCAACTCCAACATTTAGCAGGTATTTATGGATAGGATATGAGGGTTAGTCCAGAGTCATCTGTCCCCTATACACCCTCTTTGTTTGGACTATCTTTTAAGCTATTTTTTCCAAATCTTTAAATCAAGGGAAGTTGTGGTTATGTGTGCAGAGTTGTGACGTTATGGCCAAAAAAAAGGTTACTTCTTAAGGGTTGAACAAACTCAGTGACGAAACACGATGCAAGCTTAGAGGGAAATAGGAGGAAGAGAGGACCTTTTTTTTTTGTCTTTGGGTAATTCCTTCTGTGGAAGCTTGAAGGTTGGACCTCAAGTTCAAGACTCATTAATATGCCATGCACAGAGGCTGAATGCAGCAGGGGTTGGCACATGTCGACTTCTGTATTTGAGGTACTGATGGTTCAATTCCCAGCATCGCTCGCTGGCTCCAGGATCACAACCAAGGACGCAGTGAGTCTGTGCTGGGTGAGCACAGCACAGTGCTCTTCCCCATGTCATTAAACCAGGAAGGGCTTTGGCAGTATTCCACTACAGACAATTCTCAGTGGCTACTTAGAAGAGTGTTGGAAGCCATATGGCTTCCACAGTGGAACCACGGGCAGAGAGGGCAAACGTTTGAGAGAAGCAGCAGAGAGGAGATCAGTGCTCAAAGCTTTCAATACCCTTTCCTCCCTTTACCCCAGCATCCTGCCAGTGCATCCTCACTTTCTGTTCATTAAAAAGCTTGTGCTTATCCATTAAATAAATAAACCAAAACACATTTCTCTAATTGCTGCTAGGGTTTGTGGCCATTATTCCATTGAAACACTGCTGATGAATTAGAGATCTTTCAAGAAGTAGAAATGGTTACAATTGTTGTGTTCATAAGGGCATGTTGTCCTTCCCATGGACCATCCAGAGCATTCTGCAGTGTGACTTATCCCTGCAGTCAAGGAGAACTGTTGAGGCCATCAACTGAGTGTTAGCACATGCTCTGCCCTCCACAGCTAGGGAGTTAACAGCATTTCTAAAACCATTGAGGCTATTTCAGAAGTTTGATCTCTACTAGTTTAGAACCAGTATTTTCAGAAGTGCTCATTATTTATGCCTGGGATTAATTTTTTTAAGATGTTCCTGTTTTTTAAATGTTGCTATCTGCTGGAAGCAAGCAAAGAAAAGAAGACAGGTTTAATACTTTTTTACTCATTTCCAGTACTTCAGTAGCCAAATTCCAGCAGAGAATGTCCTCCCACAGTGAGGAGAATGGGAGCACCTGGGAACCAGGGTCTTTGAACTGCTGGACTGACTGTTGATGTAGAAATGTGTTTAAAGTGGAATTGCAATATATAGTTTCTGGAGAAGAGTGAGAGATGATGTTGGCAGCTGGGCTATGGAGCCAGCTATGAGCCAGAATCCTGTTCCCTTGTACAGAGCAGGTCAGGGAAAACAGCCAGTGGAGGGATGTCACTAGCAGATGTGCATGTCTGTACATACACACCCATATACACCAAGAGGAGAGACAAGAGGTGGCGGGATTAGCACCCAAAGCTTGGAATGAGATCAAGTACCAGGAGTGTGCTGGGCAGTGTAGTCTTTCCTTTCTAATACAGGCAGGAGGCAGATCAGAGGAAACAAGAGATCTCTGGGGAGAAGTGAAAAGGAATACCATGATGCTAATGTTAAGAAATTGTATCATCCTGTAGGAGCAGTCTGTAGAGAGCCTGCCTGTGGAGCTGGGGAATAACCCTGCACGTGTGTGTGCACCATTTCCATCTCATGTGTTTGCATATGTGCCCACAAATGAGCACATATTGTTGGTTCTTGTGTACAAAACTGCAGTGGAGATCACTGAAGAGTTCAGATCCCAACAACATGTTGAGTCTATTAAGGTTAATTTGTGTAACTACCCTGCAATCCTTAAAATAAATCCCTGGCAGATACGTTGTGATTCTGCAATTTTGTTAAAACTGTGCAGCTATAGCTGTAAAACAGCTTCAACTGTGAGCTAGATTTGAAACACATTCATCCTAAATGATTTAATAGCAATGATTCCTCTTTATATGCACTTTTCTAGATTTTATTTGCCATTTTCACCACTCTTACAACTCATCACTTTTGTTTAGATTAAGCAACAAGATTGTTCACTCGGTGTTTGAGAAGCAAGTCACTGCATTGACCCCCTCTGTGATCTGACGTCCTCTCCCTTCCCAGTCTGTTGCTTCAATGCTTTCTAGGGCACCCCTTATCCCTCCTGAAAGAGACCTTTACTTCTGGTTTCTCTTCATGTAGATGAAAGTGGAGCCTCTCTCTCTCTAGTGCACAGGGGCCTCCCTGCTGAGCAGAGAGAACAGGTAACCAGGATCCTTCTTCCCTTCAGCTCCTTTTCTTTGGTCAGTCATTGACCCCCCCCCAGATATATTCCACCTCCTCGCTTAGGACACTAATAGAAGACAGGTGGTTATTAGGAATCAGTGGCTGGAAAAAGCAGTTGTCTTTTTCCATATGAAATCCCACAGACCTGCCCTTTATCCATCGTGACATGGGTATTGTTTATATTGCAAATAAAGGTTGTCTCTAAACGTGGGTGGTTGGCCCAGGCTTGCTACTGGAGGTTAAAATAGCAATGAAGACAAGGCAGCTCAGGTTTGCTGCTTCACACAGACCCAATGGAAATTCCAGGAAGGGTCTCCATCTGCTAACTCAACATACTGGGCATTTTAATCCAAGTTAGTAATTTTCAGCTAAGAAAACCCCCCCCCCCCCCCCCAGTGTAACAGGAGAATTGTTACAAAACTTTTATATTAAGTTTGGGCAGGGAAGGGGAGCATGTGAAGAGGAGCTATTGCAGTTCATCTGTACAGCATGGAGGGCATGGGATGTGCTTGGAGGTTTCTACATTCTATTGTAAAATCTATAGGAATGTGAGACCAGAGTTAAGGTTGGTATTGAACCCTTAACAGTTGCTTTGTTTTGTTTTTTTTTAGCATTTAGTTGATTGATAGTTTTGTTTAGGTTTTGTTTAGGTTTTGGGGGTTTGGTATTTTACTTACCCTATTAAAAAGGTTCAAGGAGAGAGTTTCAAAGCTGTTGAGAAGATGACCAAAATGCCGAGGGAACTGTGAAAGCATCACCCTTGTGGCATGGTGGATGTCAGAGGCATGTCTGGGAATCTGCAAAGAGTCTGAAATGAGGGAGATAAGGGACAGAGCCAGAGCCACGTCTCGCTGAAGGGCAGAGCCACACACACATGGCTGGCAAGGAGCCCTTTCCTTTCTGAAGGTCAACAGTGTGCATACACATTTCAGTGAGCTTTCTTTATAAGTGGGTCAGCATTTACTCAGCAAATGAGCAGATGGTGTAATTTAGAATCTATGACAAAACTTTTAATAGATCAGGGCTAACATGATGACAAGGAGCTCTGCATCTTTCTCCATTCCCGATTTCTGCTTTGCCTTGGGGTAAAAATCATGCCTGGATTGGATTTTCTGGTCTGCACATTCCATCTGAGCGACTTGAACCACTTGTTTGAACATCCTGTAAGAGGGATCCCCACATTTCTCTGTTCCTGCATCTTTATTGGTTTTAAATACAACAATTAACAAGAAGACACCAAACAGGTAAACACGGTCCCTTTGAGGACCAGAATTTTTGAAGGAAAAAGCCACAGTTTGAAGAAAGTAACAAAGGCTGCATTTGTGTATTTTACTCCATGGAGCTGAAAATATCTAGTAAATTGATCCCGTGGGAGTAATAAATACACATTACTTTATCTTGTACTTCATGTCCTATACCCCTGAGCCTTGATAGAACAACACCACTTAATAGACTTAAAAAAGAGTAATTACAGTCATTGGTTGTGTGATATTTCAGCCCTTCCAGCCCTGCCTGACCTTCTAATTTAGCTCACCGTGTCTAACTAATGCATTTATATTCATCTTTTATGAAGCATGTGTAGTACAAAATTGACTTTGCAGCCTTTAGCAAGCTGTCTTACCAGGTTTAGGATTGGGTTAGTACAGCGTACTGTATAGCATATGTACATTTACAGCAGAATTTTGCACGCATATGGCTCTGATCATCTATTACTTTTTATCCTTTTGGAAATAAAATAAAAAAATATTTATTCCATTTCATCTTCCCCTCCCCTTCCTAAAGCTTTTTTTTTTTTTATTGTGGTATTATTTACAGCTAAACATGCAGGCAGAAGGATGCAAGCATTTTTAAAATGATTACCACTAATGTTTCTACTTGTCAGAAGTGCTTAAATTTTCCTGCACTTTGTCTAAAAACTTAGCACTTTTACCTTTTAAGAATTACAAATTTCTAAGATCTTACCAAGCTGATTTACAAACACAGCTGACAGTTTATGATGAATGATGTTGAAAAATGTACAATATGTTTCTCTGTCATTTCTGTGCATGTATATATTAAGAAGAAGATTAAGAAGAGAGAGAACCCCCTCTGAAAGAAACCCTTGAGTTAGAGAGCACACACACAAATCTCTCTCCTGTGTTTCCTCATAACTTCCCGCTCACTTCACTCATCCAGTGGAGCACAATTGTTCTCTGTGCATTTTCTCCCACCATATGGTATCCTCATTACCATACACTAAGGGTCCATATGGGGAACTTGTGAAGTGAACTGTATTCATTTTAACTGCCAGATGAGCAGCCTTTTGCTTTGCAAGCTTAGCTTAAGTCATCTGCTGTCTTTATGTTGTTATGGCAACATAGCACCAATAAAAAATTCTAATCTACTGTAAGTGTCTGGGATCACAGTATTTTAAATGCTCACGGTAACTGTCCTCTCAGTGAGGCTGCTTGTTCTTTTAGTGGGACAAAGGGTTATTGTCAACTCCAGCAGGTGGCAGTAAAGAAATTGCTTCTTTTTTTAAAAACATTTTTAAAAACAGATATATTTTTCCTTTTCCCCCATCTCCCTTCACCTCAGAAAGTCATGGAATTACACAGCGTGGTCAGTCCTTTACATTTCCTAGGATTTCTGATGCTCAGGTCAGAATCGCAGGTGATACTTTTAAGTTGCAACTCAAATATTAAAGATAGCAAAGTATGAGACTGCAGAGGCAGCTCGGGCACTTTATTGACAGCAGAGATCAAGGCTCAGCTACCACTTCACCAGGATTCTGATGCCTCCACAGCCACACACAGTTTTGGAGCTGTTTTCTAGCTATATTTCCAAACTCCTGAATCAAACACAAAGCTAATTAAGAATATTGTATAGTAATGGAAATAGGCAGCAGCATCCTTAAATATAAATCATTTTCACCTCTGCAGGCCACATGATATGTTGCATCTCTGTCTCCCTGTCTGCACTGAAAGTGAACGTTTGTAGTCTCAGTTCATCAGTTCACATTAGCCTCATGCTGAATATTTAAACACAGAACAATTTGAACACACCATGAAGAGAGACAGTGACTGCACTTTCACTTGGAACAGCAAGAGCTCATCTAATAATAATTTAGTAAATCAGCCATTTAGTGGCTCAGTTGTACACTGTATTGTGCCAAATAATATTCAGTTCAACTGTATGCTGGTGAAATGGAAATTCAGACTCCAGTCACATGGCACTTTTTTGCTCAATGGAGAGATGAAATGGAAAATCACCCTCCCAACAGACTGTTTGAATGTAGTGATTTATCAAAAATATAGCAGAGTGACAGAATAAACAGAATTTGGTTGTATGGGGTACAATCTATTCTAATTAGGATTTTATTATTGTGGTTTCTCCTGCACAGATTATTTGATAATTCAGGATTTGCATTTTCATCTTCAGTTTATTTTATATATGGGCAGAGAGCAGATCTGTGTAGTTACCACATTGTTACAATCCTTTAAGGCCCAGTCCTGGAAAGCGTGGAGAGTCCTTTATTGCCATATTTTGAGCCCTGGCTCACAGGGAACACCATGCCCCGAGGAGCAATGGGGAAACACAGCTGCTGCCATGGATGTTACCTCATAGCATGAAAGCAAGATCACATTGATTTCTTTTCCCTTTTTAAGTCTATCAAGATTTGTAGGGAAGTGTAATATGTTGGACTAACTGATCTACCTGGAATAAAACAGACAGGCTTTTGGGTCCCCATCCTTGTTACCTGCATGCTGACTGTACCTCTTCTTGCCTGTATCAGTGCCTCTAATAAAAGATATTACCTTAGCCTACAAAACTTGCCTTGGTTGTAACCAGAGACCATTGTAACTTCAGCCAAAGAGCTACACTTTAAGGCTGTCTCTGATGAAGATGGGGAAGAGAGAACATTTTCCTAGAAAGTGTGTTGTGAAGTTTAATTTGCTCCCATTAAAGTGGTGCTTTGAGATCTTTGAACTGAGGGCATTGCAGAAGTGTGAAGTAATGTCTATAATCTCACCTACAGTTTCCATTTCTAGCCTAGTTTTAGGTGTTATGTGGTGGTTTACGTGGTGATGTAAAATATGATTGCCGTGTATTTCTCACAACACAGTCCAATTGAGTAGCAGAAAAAGTATCCTCCAAACCATCATGATGCCATTTAGCAGAGAGTGCTGGAAGCAATAGGAGGCCTGTTGTCGTAATTCTTCTAAGAAATACAGAGCTTCACAATCTCTACCCAGCTGCTGACACTAGAAAACTCAAACATTTTGGTAAAATGAATCAAGCAGTAATGTTTCTTTTATGAGATCTCCTCGGAGGACGGGAAGGTTTGGCACCATTTGGAGATCAGGCTCAGTGATCCATCATAGCAAAGGCAGCTGTCCTGGTGTGTCTCGTAGGTCACTCGATCGAACCGGTGGCTCTTACAACTGTATTATTGCTTATGGAACAGTAATTGAGGCACCATGGTTAAAAATTACCTGGTCTAATAGGCAGTGAACAATTTGCACTCAATACAATTATAAGCCAAATCATTCATTTCATAACACTTGGACTAATTTATTTGTTGACCTTTTAATATCCATAGCTCTTCAGTAGCATTAACTGCAACTCGGACAAAATCTCTTGTTCATTTTACTTTCATTGATTTTTTTTTTTCCACTGAGGCAATAACAGTTGTTTGAGTACAACCTTTTCTTTCTGTTGTAAAAGTCAATCATGTAACTTATGGTGATATAACTCAACTGGACTGAAATGTCCTCTAAGTACAATCTCAGCCTACTTGAACAAACACAGATATGCACTTGGGATTTATTTTAAAGAATGTTTTGGAATATATTTGTGACTATAGATGACAAATGATACATTTGCTGAGAGGAGGATGAAAAAAAGACAGAAGCATTTTTTAAAGCAGTGTCACATATATGTAACCCACTTTTTGTTCATATATTATGGGTGATTCAAGATACAGAAATTTTGGAGTTTGTTAATGTTGTTCCTTAGGATGACCTAAGTGTCTTTAACGCTAGATCCATAATTTCACCTGCACTTAACATCTTGAAGTCCAATTATTTGACAGAATAGAGAAGCTTAACTTTTCCAAATGTGAGCATTTGACATATAAAATGTGTGTAAAAGTATTTTTTAATAAATAGAAAATAATTGGTACTAATATTTTTATAATCTGAATTTTCTTTCATTTTTTTGGCTTTAAACCAGCATGAGAGCTAAGAGGTTGTTATGATCAAAAAAAAGTTACTGAAATATTGATTTATTTTTAAAAATCAGTATTTTGAAGTGATTCTATAAAATATGTTGATGTAGGAAAAAGGACCCCTAGATCATGTAAAGTGCTGTGCCTGCTTTTACATTGTAGAGGTGTACACAGAAATATAGCGTTAACCCTGGGAAATGTTGGATAAATTTAATTTCTTAAATACGTGGTTATTCAACATTTATAATTGCTTGGGATAATTTCCACTGAATTTTAAGAGTGTAAATTAAAAATAATAGTATCAGGAACAAAATATCTTTTGTTTCTGATGAGAAAGCTGAGATATTTTCAGGATATCTGATTGGAGTAACTTCATTGAAGTCGCCTTTCTGAGCCAAGTTCTCTTTGTACAATAAAATACTGTAAGTCTTTTGAACACACAGTTGTAAAATATGGTTGTTACACTCTTGGCATTTTATGCTTCCCTAGAAATTACCACTTGGTATCTGCACCTAATCTCTGGCCTGTCTTTTCATTTCAATTGAGTCTGAAGTGGTCCTTGGCTGTAATGAGAATGCCCCTTTTAAGAAAATTCTTTT